CCAACACACTAATTCAGTCAGTAATTAGGTGATTGAACAAGACCAAGGCATTGATAAAACAACAACAAGTAAAAACAGTTTCCCAGATCAGGGTACATTTTATGTTTAGTTGAAATCAAGAATATGTTTGGTGTTTTCTTGGGGTACTCAAAACCTTATTACATGCTGATCCATGAAAATCCTAGGACTACACAATAATATTCATAGTTATCCCAGATTGTCCTAATACAATAAAGAATCATGTTTTTTTCAGCCAATGTGACAATACGGATTGAAGAATGTCCTTTATCCAGATTAAGCTATGATCCACAACAACATTCACTGTAGTCTGTTTTAGTCTGGCGTTAGAAATACCTGTGACATAGCTTCCAGCATCACAGATACACACAAGGCACCGTGGTATGGAAAACTGTCAGACAGACAAGGAAAAATGGCTTGGCTGGCAATCTGTTTCCAAAAACTAATCACCGAAAATATAGTGCTGAAAGATGAGCCCTCTAGGTTGGAAGGCACTCAAAAGACGCAGTCATTGCAACAATGAACTCTAGCACGCCAACAGTTGTGAAGATGGCACAGGACTGTTGTGCCACCTGTTTTTTTCTGTTGAACACTGGATCACCACGAGTTGGAGCCAACTCAAAGGGAATAAACAACAACATTATAGTGAAACTAATATAACAAACATTTCTTCCCTCAAGGAATCTGGTCCCTACTTGCGTAAGAAATTGGCAAGCCATTCAGTGTCTACTGCCATTACTCTGAAGGCATCTGCTAATAAGTAGGCAAATTGACTAAAATAACCAAGTAAAAATGCCAGCAAAGGGGGAGATATTTGGAGTTTGTACTGGAATATTAATAGTCTTGAGTTCTAGTCAAACTCTATCATTTCCTGGTTCTATGATATTGGAACAAGCATAAATGTAGTTTCCTAATAAATTAAAGTTTAAAAATAAGATAATTGGACAAAGAAGGCTCTATGATCTCCCCTAGTTCCATGTGTCTATAATGCTATGATCAAAGGGGAACCAATTTTTCATTCAAATTGGGACAACTTTAAGAGTAAAAATAGCTATTATAATTAATAAAACCTCTGCTAAAACAGGTACATACCTGTTGTTATCACCCAACAAATGATAAGCATCCAAGAATGTAAAAGTAATATTTTGCATTTTAGAGAATTATGATCCTAGACAAACTTTCTCTAAAAATGAAATGTTTCAGAAGTTATCTCTCTCTGTGATGATATAACACTGCTGGAGAAGCAGTTGAAACCACAAGGTTTGCAGTTGAAACCCATCAAATGCATCTCGGAAACCCTATCACGGTCACTATGAGTTGGAACCAAATCTAGGGCACTTAGCAACAACAACATCTCTATCTGTGATAATGATCTTTGTTTTTTCCCCCAATAAGACATATTTTCTCTTCTGGTCTGATTTGTGGTTATTGTTGTTAGTAACCTTAAAGTTGATTCCAACTCATAGAAACCCTATGCATAAAAGAAGAAATACTGCCTG